ACCTCAGCTATATCTTCATCTCTCTCATAACATTTAGCACAGCATCTTGAATACAGAGGATACCAAATGTCTGCTGAATAGCGAATGAATGTCTTAAATGCAATTTTCTACATATATTTTCAGTAGTCATTATACCAGAACAAATAAATATCCAGTCTTAAAGTAGGAAATGGAAATGAGGGGAAAAACCTAAAATAATGGGGACATGCATTCACTTCTCAACAGTGTTTTAGAAGTGCATGTTCTTACTGTGAATTTCAAGGTGGCCTCTTAACTGCTGTCCTCAAACTGGAGTGTATACTAAGCATCTTTATCTTTAAATAGTTACTGAAACTTCATTGTTGTAAGAGCAAAAAAGAGCACTATTAAGAGAAACAAGAATTTAAATATGAAACTCTACTTCCCCCTAACAATGGGGTGCTGAAATTCAAACCCCTATGCCGCTTCATGTAGTCAGGAGGAAATTAACACAATGAAGCTTGGAAGTACAGAGGTGTGTGAGGTGGAAATAAGCAGGAGCACTGCTTTTAAAAAATAGAGGGTTGGCAGGTGCAAAAGACAAGTCTTAGGAGCTGAATCTCTGAAAGCAACAAAGACAGTGGGTCATAGCGCAAAAGCCACACTCTGCTGAAACCTGATATAGACCATGGCTGCAGGAGCTTAGGATCAATGAATTTGAGAGCATCTCTTTCTGGTACTCTTTATAGGCACCTCTAATTCCACTATAAAATTCCTCAACCTGGCCTTGAAATACTGTGAACATAGAATAGTTCTCATTTGTTTAGCTTCAGAAATATATTTTTTCCCGTCCTAAATATTTATATTTATCTGGTAACTTGCCCTGTGTTGTTTAGAGGCCACAGTGCACATACTGTAATCATTCAGTCTTATTTATGGGACTTTGTTGGTAGCAAAGCAGTTATCTCTTAATTTATTATTTTTTAAGTTTGTTACTGTTTTTTATTTGTTTAATTTGGGTCTCTTTAATAATTCCCTTATTTGTAAAAATGTCTTTAATTTATGCCTTCTCTTCCCTGTCATTTACTTTTTAATATTCAGTGGTTTAGTATAGTGATTATAAAATGTATGTAAGGTAGGTGATTCTTCTTCACTTCAACATTCAGAAGGTTCTTAGGTGCAAATAGAAAGTAAACAATGTAGTTTTACAATTTATACACAGTTGTCTCTCAGTATCCACAGGTTCCAGGACCCCCAGTTATTAAAATCTGCAGATGTTTAACTCCCTTGTATAAAATGGTGTAGTATTTGCATATACTCTATATGCATTATCTCATACTTTAAATCATCTCTAGATTACATATAGTACCTAATACAATGTAAATACTATGTAAATAGTTGTCATACTACATCTTTTAGGGAATAATGATGAGAGATAAGTCTGTACATATTCAGTTCAGATGCAATCATCGTAGACCTAACTACACAGTACACATCAGCCACATTGTAACTTTTTTTTCTGAATATTTTTGATCTGTAGTTGGTTGAATCTGTGGATGTAGAATCCGCAGATACAAAGGGATGACTGTATTGTAATTTTATCATTTGCTGCCTTCTTTGAACTCATATATGCATATGCTAACACTCCATTTTAAATGTTTAACAAAGCATTTTTATTTCACTTTTTGCAGAAGGCTATCATCAAGATTTCTTCAAACTATGTATGAAGAAAGACAGCATTTGATTGTTTTTAACAATGACTTCAACATGTGAGGACAATTTCTTCCAATGAATACTTTGTTCAATAATATAAAGAGAAAACATCATCAAGAATCAAAATGTGAAGGGGACTTCTGGTCAAGATGGTGGAGTATGTAAATGCTGTGCCTGCTTCCTCCCATGACTACATCAAAATTACAACTAAATTATAAAAAATCCTCAGTGGAGACTGTATCCAAGTGAGACAGAGGGCTACTAGAGTCCCAGGCATAACTCTTGAGGAGCCGCACTTGAACTTGCTGACTCACAAACTCACTCACTCTGGGCTCCAATGCAGGGGCGGCAGCTCAAAAAGCACCAGGGACAAATGGGAAGGAAATGAATTTATTATTTTCAGAGTGAGGGCTGGAAGGGCAGGGGTCAGGGCAGCTCTCTCTGGGGAGACGCCATTGCTCTTTTGTTGCATTCTCCCCTCACCCAGATGTAAGGCATAAGCGGATGCCAAATCTAAGCTCTTCATTAACCTAGCTAACACCATTCTCCTGCCCTGGTGATTCCAAGACCCTACTCCACCCAACTCGTGTGCCCTGACTGAACAATTTCTAGTGGCTTTTCAACAGAAGCAGCCTGCTTTGGTTCATGCTGCAGAATTTTCTAGAATCTCTCATAGGTTCACAACCCCAAACAAGCAGTGGCTGGCCTCAGCATGTCCTGTACCTCTTGCTAAGTGGCCCCAAGCACAGCACAAGGGGTGACTGCTCTTAACTTGCATTGTAAATCCCATTAGCTGACTCCAAGCCTGGCATAAGCTGTGGTCCGTGTGGGCTTGGAACATAGCTTCAACTAAGCAGTCATAAGAATGGCACATGTGCCAGCTGTACTCAGTCACATCGTGGTGTCCAGGAAAAGGTCCCAAGGCCGGTGATAGTAACAGCTAGACTTGGTTCACAGCACAGCCTCTCCCAAGTGCCTTCAAGCCCAGCAAAAACAGCAACAAGGTGCAGACCAATTAGTAGCTCCCATCAGGCAGTCCCAGACCGGGCACAAACAAACACTAACTCGAAGCTTCTCCCAAGAGGCTTTGGAACCAACACACCCAGTGGCCGAGTTCAGCCACACCAGCGAACCATCCAATCAGCTCCATAAACAACACACCCCAAAGGCAGACCTGGATGGCACCAGAGCCCAGGAAAGCGACTCCCATTATGTGGGGTTAGCCCCTACGCAGCAGCTTGTCTTCTACAGTCATGGCTATCCTGCAGAGCCAGTCAGCCTGAGGATCAATCCCACTCACTAGCAATTGAGGCCCAACTACAATAGGAAGGCACACAGACCCACACAGGGAACACCTTCGTAGCACCCAGTTCAGGTGAACATAGAGATTGTGCTACTGGGCCTAAAAGGACACCTATACATAAGGCCACTCTGTTAAGACTGGGAGACATAGTATATGTACCTAACATATAGAAACCAACATAGGGAGTCAGCAAAAATGAGACAAAGAAATATGTCCCAAATGAAAATATGGGGTAAAACACCAGAAAAAGAATTAAGTGAAATGGAGACGAGCAATCTATCAGATACAGAATTCAAAACATTGGTTATAGGATGCTCAAGGAACTTAGGGGAGGAATAAATAAACTCAGTGAGAACTTCAACAAAGAAACAGAAACCATAAACAAGAACCATTCAGAAATGAAGAATACAGTGACTGCAATGAAGAATATATTCGAGGGAATAAAGAGCAGATGACATGAAGCAAAGGATCAAAGGATTTGGAAGATAAGGTAGTGGAAAACAACCAACCGGAACAGTGAAAAGGAAAAAACATTTTTTTTAATATGAAGATAGTTTAAGGGGCCTCTGAGAAAACATCAAGCATAACAACAATTGCATCATAGGGGTACTAGAAAGAGAAGAGAGAGAGCAAAGAACTGAGAACCTATTTGAAAAAATAACAACTGAAAACTTCCCTAACCTGGTGAAAGAAATAGACATACAAGCCCAGGAAGCACAAAGAGTCCTAAACAACATGAACCCAAAGAGGCCCACACCAAGACACGCGTAATTAAAATGCCAAAGGTTAAAGACAAAGAGAGAATCTTAAAAGCAGCAAGAGAAAAGCATCTAGTTATCTACAGAGAGAGTTTTCATAAGACTGTCAGCTGATTTCTCAATGAAACTTTGCAGTCTAGAACAGAATGGCATGAAATATTCAAAGTGATAAAAAGCAAACACCTACAACCAAGATTATTCTACTCAACAAAGCTATCATTTAAAATCGGACAGATAAAGATCTTCCCAAACAAGAAAAAGCTAAGGGAGTTCATCACCACCAAACCAGTATTACAGAAAATGCTGGAGGGGCTTCTTTAAGAAGAAAAAAATAAGATAAAAAATATGAATGAAATGGTAAAAACTACATATCCATCAATGATTACTTTCAATGTAATGTAAATGAATTAAATGCTCTAATCAAAAGATACAGGGTGGCTGCATGGATAAGAAGTCCTTTCCACATGCACCTGAAAGAGACTCACTTCATATCAAAAGACACACATAGAGTGAAAGTAAAGGAATGGAAAAAGATATTTCGTGAAAATGGAAATTAAAAAAAAAAAGAAAGCTGAGATATCAATACTTATACCAGACAAAATAGACTTTAAAACAAAGGCTCTAAGAGACAAAGAAGGACCCAGTAATTCCACTTCCAGGTATTTATCCAAAGAAACCAAAACACTAATTCAAAAAGACATATGCACCCATATATTCACTGCAGCATTATTTACAATAGCTAAGATATGGAAGTAACCTAAGTGTCTATCAATAGATGAATGGATAAAGAAGTGGTATATATACACAATGGAATATCACTCAGCCATGAAAATGAATGAAATTTCGCCATCAGTAACAATATGGACGGCGTTGAGAGTATTACGCTAAGTGAAATAAGTCAGACAGAGAAAGATAAATACTGTATGATTTCACTTATACATGGGATCTAAAAAAACAAAATAAACTCATAGATACAGAGAACATTTTGATGGTTGCTGAATGGGAGAGGGTGGAGGAGATAGGTGAAAAAGAGGAAGAGATTAAGAAGTACAAAAAAAAAATCTACTCCTTTTAGTCACAATGTATACTATAGCTGGTAGGACAGGAAATCAGAGAAGTTTGAATTTTCTACGTATTTTTTTTAACGATTACTATTAACAAAATTTCAGGTTCTGGTAATGGTGTTTCCACATAATTCTTATTAAAGCAAATCCTCACAGGAAAAATATCAGAGCACTATATCCCCCCAAATAGGAAGCACAACTTACCTCAACTTGAAAAAGTTCTCCAGCCCCCTCACAGTCATTGGATGTGATTATTGGAGTGTGAATATGCACAAAGCCACTGTCCTAGAAGAAAAAAGGAAAGCCACTTTTTCCAGTATACTTGTAGATGAAACAATTCCAAGAACATACACCTTATTATACTATTAAAATGGCACTGAGAATGCCATATCGAATCCCTCCCTAACTCCTCAAAAGAAAATTATTGAAATACCAAGCTGAGTATTTTACTATTCACAGAAGTACAAAGAATTTTAAATCAGGAACTGAGTTAGACATTATCTAGTCCAATCTCCTCACTTCAAAGATAATGGAGATTAAGGCCTAGACAGATTTAATGAATTGCCCAAAGTCACACAACTTGTCAGTGTCAGAACCAGGACTGGAACCTAGGTTTTTCAGGATCTTTTCTTTCTCTGGTGCTATTTCTTCTTCCCACTTTTCTAAAATACTGGTAATAACTTCACACACACACACACACACACACATACTTGCTCAAGGATAATGTATAATGATGTTGCCCACATTGCTCAGGGAATACAAAGTGATCAATGTAAAGTTCAATTATTTTGGAATGAGACCCACGATTGTAACAAACCACCAAAAAAGGAGAAAAATTAAGGTTGATAAATAGGGACTGGAGAAATAAACAGCAAAAAAAGTAGAAATGAATTTTAGGAAGTCTGTCATTAAATGGATTGCACAGTGCACTGCACATGGCACAGGCAGTGCACTTCCTTTCCCTCAAGGAAGATTCTGAGCAGCAAATTCATCCATTACTGAGGCGTCCAACTGCAATTCTTCCGCTCCAAAGTCTGAGACTATTTCCATTAGTGAACCACAAAAGCTGTTGCTAGTAGGATTGAAATAACCCAGCAACTTCAAGGTTATGCTTCTTTCATTTTGACTATGTATGTAGGCAAAAGGTTACATTCAGCATAAAGATGCAGGCTGGAGGTGGAGGTAGCTAAAGGGGACTTATGCTGCAAAAGCAGAATAGTATGTATTTAATACAAGAATTTTGGTCTTGAAATCAATATAATAAATTTATATATACACATCTAATTTCTGTTAAATTCTGTCACTGGTGGAATATAAAATGTCTCAATGTGTTACCAGGGCCCTCGGAAATTTGCTTCTTCCTAAAATGGTTGAATTCAAATATTCTGGCTAAGATACAAAATATCCAGTTAACAACCTGCTTACGGTGTAGACTGATTAAATATTCAAGGTCTAAATTAGGAGTCTCAGAAAGTATTCAAATATGTACTTAATCTGGGAGCAACATGCTTAGAGGTGCTACACAGAGGACATTATAGAGAACGAATGAAATATAATCAATAATAACATTACTGCATAAAATTTTTATCTCTTAGGAGCCAAGAATTATGAACGTGAATCATTTATTCCATGTGAATGCAGGCAACTATGATCATGAGTGCAGTAAACAAAGAAAGGAAGTGAAAAATCCAAAGGAAATGAGGGTGGCTAGAGGGAGGGGGAGAGGGAGGAGAAAATTTAACGGCTAAATATAATTGCCAAAGTTACAACTGGTCAACTGCCACAAGAAACAACACTGTAAATCATATGAAAATAACTGCATGAGGTTTTTTAAAAAAAATTACTCAAGTGGTGGGAATTATTCTTAATACTCAACTAATGCTAAACCTTTCAAAAGGTGTCACTGTTTAAGCCTTAATGCTGCTAGTAAAGCTTATCATATCAAAGTCTATATAATATTACCACCGAAAGCTATAGAGGAGAATACAAAGGAAGAATAATAAAGCATAGAGAACAAAGTTCAAAAAAGAGAAAGTAGAGAGGGAAGTAGAAAGATAAAAAGGGAAATAAACAGCAAGGCACACTGTTAGTAGCTGCCTCCAGTGGGACACCAGTCCCACAGCAAAGAGGTTTCTAATTAGAGATATGAAGGCCAGAAAAGCGACCAAAAAATAAAAGTAAACACTTTCATCCAATTTTTCAGATTCCATCCACTATTTCTAAAAATCTAAATATTTTGATAGCTACACATTTTAGAACTAGATATTTCACAAGGTACCGAGTATCTGAAAATTACAAAAATCACATACTACGGCCCATACACATCACTCAACGATTCATGGACTATATTTTTCTTTCATGCACACTCAAAATAAGTATCATTATTTAATCAAAATTAATGAAAAAGAAACATGACAGCACTTGCTAGTTACAGGCACACTACTGGCAACAAAAAGTGACAGCAAGAGGAGACAAAACCCAGAGAAAGCAGTCACTGAAACTCAAATACACAGCACTCTAGGGTCATTTAACACAGGAACAAAGAATGCTCCACACTGTGACAGACTTTGAAGGAACTGCCACACAGAAGAGGGAAAAATCTGATATTCAAAAGAAGAACCCTGACTCATCAAGAAAAGGCAAACTCTTTTATTGGCTCAATTTAGAAAGCCAGGATGTGTGTAACACATTTGGGGATAGCTTCCACTGGAAATTAGAAAAATTGGTACCTGGAGAGATAATCCTGTTATTTAAGAAACTCAGTTCTTCTAAACAACTCATTCCTTGAGGATTCTAGAGAGCCAATTTTTAGGACACAGCAAATGAGTCAATATTATGAGCAAACCAAGTTACACACAAAACACTTTAAAACTCAAACCAAAAACAAACAAAAAAACTAGATGTTTAAAGTATCCTAACTAAAAGATATCGCCCAAATTTGTTTCCTGCATTTCTAGATTGAAATTTATGAAAATTTTACATTTTAATTGTTAACATCTTTTAGGGAGCCTAAAGTAACAACTCAAAACAACAGTATCAAATATTAGATAATATATAATGATTATTTAATGTCCTATAGCACTCCTGTGATTTCTTTAAATAACGTAATCTTAATTGTCACACCTATGAGAGGGTAACATTAATTATAGAACTTGGTATCAGGAATATATTTTCCAGGGCTTTACAAATAAAAAGTGAATTTATAGTACTCAAAATTACCTACTTTATAACTATCACCAATAGTGCTAAAATTTGTTATTTTCAACCACTTAAAATGTTTTTAATCTTACTTAATTTTGCTTATTTTTTATTTCAAAATTTTCTAGATTATTCTCTTATTTTTTAATTTTTGCATATTTGCCGAAGCTTCAAGTAATAAAGAAATGCAGAAAGTAGGTAAAGTCCACTGGTCAGTGGATTGCCAATACCACCATCTAGTGGCCATATATCTACAAAACTTTCAGGATTAAGGCAGGTCCACTTTGTCAGCTGTTAAAGCCATATGGGGGGGAAAACATCTTTAGGGCTGAGCAAATTTTTTGTTTGTGTGATTCAAGCACAACTGAAAAATCATATGGACGTTGCATAAGAAAGTTTATGAGCACATATGTAAATGCACCCTTTCAAACTATAATGGAATGACATTGTATAGTGTGATTTATTTTCCTTTGTTTGTTCAAAAGTATAGTATGTGCTTTAAAGCCATGATGTTCTTTAGCTGTTTCACTAGAAATCAACTCTGAAGGTGCATCTCAAAGAGCAAGAACTTTCTTGGTATGCTGCAACAGGCCTGGGCCTGCATGCATTTTTTACAGGGGAGGGTACGCTGTTGAACGATCTCCACAAATTAGCTGGATCTGGGGAAGCAGCATAGGAAGAGTTCCGAAACCACATGGGGTAACACTGAACTTTATCTGCTGGGTCACTCCTTGCCTTTGGAACCCTACTATCCACATGAGGGGAAAGTCCCTTCCCCTCATCAACTTACCAACTACATTCCACTGTGGCTTTTCCAGGAGGGGACAAATGACTGAAAAGCAAAACTAAATAAGACAAAATGCCTTTAGTCTCAGTTCAATCTATTTGATCAACACCAGTAACTCTTTATACATAAAATGTCTATGACCAAGATGGAGAAATAGAGACCAGATTAACCCTACATGAAACAATAAAAATAAAAAAAAAAAGGGCAAAAAACCCCACAAACAAGCCACATGAAATAATGGGTTTCAAGATGCTGAATATCAGACGACAAAGGACAGCGATCCCTGAGAGATGGGAAACAAACACTGTGAACCCTACCAGCAGCCTAGCTTACTACCTTGAGGTTTTCCAGGCCATAGCAGGGAGAGGGGGAAATAGAGTCCAGCAGAATCCCTGAGTTGAGGAGACAGAGGTGAGAGTCTGAGGAGACCAAAGTGGCTAGAGTTCATTAGACAGAGTACCAGAGAGGAGAGAGCTGTGCAGAGAATTCCAGAGATGTGTAGAGGATCACCTGGAATATTAGGTAGAGGAGTGATCAGCACATGTGTGTGAGGAAACCATTCAATGCCAGTGAAAGAACCATGCAAAAAGATTTGAGGAAACAGTGCCTGGTGTTCACATGTGGCTGGAAACAGTGCTTGTTCTCACAAGCTAGTTTGGAAAAATCATCATTCATAAGGCACTAGGTAGAGTACTCAGGAAGGCTTTGCCTCAACAGTGGGAAAAAATTAGTCCTAGACTGAGCACTTCTCCAGACCTACTTAAAAGCAGGACCCAAAGGATTAAACAGTTTTCAAGCAACTTAACTGCATAACAGCACAAAGCTTAAGAAACTTTATAACTATCCAGCCCCAGATAAGGTAAAATTCACAATATCTGGTATCTCATCAAAGATTAGCAGGTATGCAAAGTGGCAGGAAAACATAGCCCATAATGAGATTAATTAATCAATAAAAATTGACTCATAACTGATAAATATGTTAAGAATTAGGAAAAAAAGTACATAAAAAACAGTATTTTTACTGCATTGTATGTGTTCATAAAGTAGAAAAATGGAAGATATTTTTTAAAGGGGGGGCAAAATAAAACATCTAGATGTGAACCTACAATGTGTGAGATGAAAAATGCACTGGATAGAAATAACAAATTAGACGTTGTAAAAGAAAAGATAAGCTTGAAGACATAGCAATAGAAACTATCCAAAAGAAACACACAGAGAAAAAAAATTAAAAAAAAAAAAAAGAACATCAGTCAGCTATGGAGATATCATCAGATGGTCTAATATAAGAGTAGTTGAAGAAATAATGACTGAAAAAGTTCATGAAAATTAAAAAGAAAAGATCCAAGAAACTCAATAGACTCCAAACACGAGAAACATAAAGAAAACTGTGTCAAGGCACACCATAATCTAATTGCTCAAAACCAGTGATAAAGAGAAGTTTAAATCAACCAAAGAAAAAAGTACCACTCAAGTAAAGGGTGCTTAGAGTAAAGAAATAACCAGACTTTCAGGATAATACTCCAGTGTTACAATTATTCAACTTTTTCAGAAGACAGAACAAGAAGCAAAGCACCTTACCTTAAAGAAAGAATGAATAGCAGCTGTGGCTTCACTGCGAACCCTCAGTATAGAACTCAGAACATTGGTCCTACACCTAAGGTGAGGATATTGTCTCAGATACTCCAGAGGATGCCTCTCTTTATATTTAAAAGGGAAAGCCTGCCAATAAATGGAAAAAAAAATTAGAAGCTAAAAAAATAGTTTCCAGGGCATTCAAAAAATAGTAGTGCTTTAGGACGAAACTGAGATGCTTTCCTTCTTTATTTCTTAATATAACTAAATATAGTCCACATTGATTCCAACAAGTTAGCAGAATGGTGGTGGGATGGAAGCACAGAGATCTGGATTTGAATTCTGCTCTACTACTCATTAGCTGTGGAAACATGGGCAAATACACAATATCACCAAGGCTAACCTGTTATTTATCATATTTCTATCTGTTAGCTATCAATCACTACTTACAAATAGAGAGATTAGGATATAATAATACAAAATAGCTCATGGTTTGGCACATAGGAGTTCAGAATATTATAGATATTAAAGGTTGTTTTCTACAGCTATATACACAGAGCTAGTGTTTAATTTTAAAATCATTCAAATGTCTTGAAAGTCCATAATTATTCATTATCAATTGACACTGTTTATCACTGTTTATCAACATGCACTGCTATCTAAGAACATGAGGGAGGGTCAACAGCTTTCTGTCATCTGGCAGAGTAGTGTACATTTATGAAAATTTTGAAGGAAATTATGACTCTATCTAGAAGTATTTCCATCTTACCCACACTCCTAAGATTAAGAGGACAGAAACAAACTTTCAGACAAAAACCAATGTTTAAATAAAAAAGATAACAAAGAAGCTAAGTAAAAGAATTACCCTGGTAGCCTGTTTCTTTTAATCTTGTCAATTCCTTTTAGGTCTTGTAATTTAAATTGTATCAAAATAAACACCACACTTACTAAAGTGAAAATATAACATTAAGAGGAATCTGGGGACTCCTAGGAGTTCAGAATTCCCTAATGTCAAAATGACACTGAAATGAAG